CGGCTGAAAGGGCGAGCATGTTTGGTGTGACGGGGGGTAATGGAGAGATGTTGTTACTTTTAAGATTCGTTCGTATATAAGTTGCAACGTTAAGTGGTTATTTAGTTCGTCTAACCGTATCCATAACAGGTGTTTAACAAGAAAGAATGTATCAAACACCGATGTCTACAGCTCACAAAGGGCATTCTCCAAGAGCAGAAACTTTTTAAAATTCTTCTTTTTTTTTTTCAATCACGTAATTTGTTTTACTCGCAACACACTACATAAATTTCTCTCATTTCCTTTCCACTACTGGTTGGCGTTCGACGTTACATTGGAATATTATGAATTAGGAACTAATATTTTGAAATTTCAGCACTGATTAGACTCTGATTGTCTAAAATATCTAGTTTACTTTTAGGACATGAACCGGGCGTGGCCTAGTTGTTAGCATGCTAGAACCACGAATCCGAGGATTTATGATTCTCGTCACATTGCCAGGATTACGCCCTCTGCACTCGGTGATCAATAGGTGCGCTATAAGAGTAACGGTCAACTTCCACAATTTGGCCAGGTAAGAGTAGCTCAAGAGTTGACGGTGGTTGTTGTTGACGAGCATCCTATCCTCTAGTTATCATTTCAAAATAATATTTTTGTCTGGGGGGGTGTATTTTTAAAACATTTAATCCAGCACATTTTTGAATTTCCAAGTTTGTTCTGAAAAGTTAAAACTGGGTTTCTAAATTAGATTTACAATGACAATTCTTCTCTTAAAAATCATGACTTTTACAATTAAAAAAAAAAACACGATTTTTGCACTTTAAAAAACCCTGACTTTGCGTAGCTTTGCACGAAATCCTGAAACAAGAAAACAAATTTCGGAACATTAACTGTAGAGTTTTCTCTTCTCAGAATACAAAGGCCGTGCACAAAATTACGATAAGAACTGCGTGTTTCTTCGTTTCATTCCGTAAAAGTGCATTTAAGATTATTAAATTGTTTTTCAACAGCTATTATATTATTATTTTTACATCTAAAAGGAAGAAAGCACGAGAGAATAGAAGGTCAATATTGAGTATACATTTACGTTTTAAGTACAATTGAATATGACTGTCAGACACTGTCTTCTACACAATATATGTTCAAAGAACGTTGTGTTTGACAAAATACATTTTCGAAACTGCATTGCTAGAGCAGGGCCTAAAAATCTTATTGATTTTCCAGTAGGGCGTTTCCTACAGACAGAAAGTTTTCTTGCTAAATTACAAAGAAAAGTTAACCACTTGTCTTTCTATATTTTTGTCTGGGGGGGGAGGGGTATTTAAAAAAAAATTAATCCAGCGCATTTTTGAATTTCCAAGGGTTTTCTGAAAAGTTAAAACTGGGATTTTAAATTAGATTTACAACGACAGTTCGTCTCTTAAAAATCATGACTTTTACAATAAAAGAAAACACGACTTTTGCACTTTAAATACAATGACTTTTGAGCTTCATAAAATATTGGTTGACGTTTTGCAACCATAATTTAGAGTTGTAACGATAAGCTGTTTCTAAATCACCATTATCCTTGCAATTTCACTGTCAAACGTTTACTTGTTTGAAGTTAAGCACAAAGCTACACAATGGGCTATCTGTGCTCTGCCCACCACGGATATCGAAAGCCGGTTTCTAGAGTTGCAAGTTCGCAGATAAACCGACGTGGCTTTGGAGGGGGGAGGCGACCGAGATCTACAAAATACAGAATCTACTTTAACCCTAAAATTTATCAAAGGCCATCATTCATTTTTAAACACATTTTTCCAAACTTATCATACTCCATGTTTCTGACTTTGTTGGTTATAGGATCCAGTTTTAATATTTGTTATACAGAAGTGAAAATATAAACGCCATCAATATTGCAATTAAAGTTTCTAGACGGCTTGAATGATGATGACATAAGCTTGTCGAAAGTTTGTACAATTCTATTAAAGCTTCTTTCACTATCCATTTAAGCCGTCTCCAAACTTTATTTTCGAAAGCGTTATCAATATTGCAATTAATTTCTTAATTACTACAGACATCGACTGTAAATTTTACACAGGAAATAAATGATTTCAACATTGAGTGTTGTAACATGCAAAAATATAAAATTATTCAATGTGATACAATATGGTGACTCCATGAAAAGTGGATGGTATACAAACAGGTCGTTACCGTAAGTATTAGCTGTATGATAGACATTTTCTCAGTCATACAAGTATCTGTAACTTGAAATATCTAAAAATTGTGGTTAAAAACTCAAATAATATTTTTTTTATTATTATTATAGTTAAACTAAAAAAAATAGATTACCATTATTTGAAATTCACCACTAAAAATAAAACTTCGTGTAAAAGTTAACAAGTTTGTTTTTTTACAGCTATAAGAATTAATTCGGGAATACTCAATTTTAAAGTAAAAAGTTTTCATTAAAATGATTGAAAAAGTAAACATTTAAAAATATCAGCAAAATTCGTTCACAATAATTAAACTGGTGTGTAATTAATTTTCCAAAGATTACTTGAATTCAGCAATGAAAAAAATCTAAATAATATAACCTTACATTAATAGTTTCGTTTTGAGCTTACTTATTTATTATAAGTATATTCTATTGCAATTATAGCGTTTATAGTAAGTAAGAATATTATTTTTAAAAACAAATACGATGTTTCGATCACTTGTGTGATAATTCTCAAGTACACAAGTACTCAATTACCGTTAAAACTTGATCGCACCAGTCATTGAAACGTTGTACCTGTTTTTAAAATATTATTCCTTACTGTAAAAGCTGTAACTTGTAATAAAATAATAACGTTACATTATTTGCCCCAAAAATATGTAGTTAAAAAATATGGATTTTTGAAAAGAACCCTACGTATTAGTAATATAGCTACAAAAAATGTTTAGAAAATGTGATTATTTCTATTGAGATGTTTAAATTGATTAATTCTCTGTCTAATGTTTTCTTATTTCACCTGCATTAACTTGACCACATACAGTACAGTAAAGTAGTAAATCACATACAGTCCAGTGAAGTGGTAAACCACAAACAGTAAAGTGGTAAACCACATACAGTCCAGTAAATTGGTAAACCACAAACAGTACAGTAAAGTGGTAAACCACATACAGTCCAGTAAATTGGTAAACCACAAACAGTACAGTAAAGTAGTAAATCACATACAGTCCAGTGAAGTGGTAAACCACAAACAGTACAGTAAAGTAAGTAAATCATATACAGTCCAGTAAAGTGGTAAACCACATACAGTACAGTAAAGTAGTAAATCACATACAGTCCAGTAAAGTAGTAAATCACATACAGTCCAGTAAATTGGTAAACCACAAACAGTAAAGTAGTAAATCACATACAGTCCAGTAAAGTGGTAAACCACATACAGTACAGTAAAGTAGTAAATCACATACAGTCCAGTAAAGTGGTAAACCACAAACAGTACAGTAAAGTGGTAAACCACAAACAGTCCAGTAAAGTGGTAAACCACAAACATTACAGTAAAGTGGTAAACCACAAACACTACAGTAAAGTGGTAAACCACATACAGTACAGTAAAGTGGTAAACCACATACAGTACAGTAAAGTAGTAAATCACATACAGTCCAGTAAAGTGGTAAACCACAAACAGTACAGTAAAGTAGTAAATCACATACAGTACAGTAAAGTGGTAACCCACATACAGTACAGTAAAATGGTAAACCACATATAGTACAGTGAAGTGGTAAAATTAAAACTCTTCTACAAATACTATAATAACTCTGAAATTAATATTTTTTTATCTTACTGCTTAGAGACGCCAACATGTTGTGACCGATGTTAGTTAATTTTGAATATTAAAGAGCCAGATTCGTGGGGACCTGCCTCTACAAGAATATTAAAGTGTTAGATCCGTGGGGACCTGCTTCTTCAAGAATATTAAAGAGTCAGATTCGTGGGGACCTGCCTTTACAAGAATATTAAAGTGTTAGATTCGTGGGGACCTGCTTCTACACGGATATTAAAGAGTCAGATTCGTGGGGACGGGGACTTGCCTCTACAAGAATATTAAAGTGTTAGATTCGTGGGGACCTGCCTCTACAAGAATATTAAAGTGTTAGATTCGTAAGGACCTGCCTCTACAAGAATATTAAAGTGTTAGATTCGTAAGGACCTGCCTCTACAAGAATATTAAAGTTCAGATCCGGGCACTAAAAGTAAGAGTAGCGCTTTTCTCAGTCAATATCATGCACATGTTGCAATAACCAGTGAGGTGTAGATATTTCATTAGAACCTACCGTATGGTACAGATTTACTGATGAGTTTGTCTTTCGGTGCGTAGGGACAATTTACCTATAAATATATAAGTTATATATAGATATATATTGTGTAAAATATATATATAATCAACTTTTACAGTTTTCTTAAATCTACAAAACCATTACAAAATCTACATTTAAACATTTCGACAACAATTTAAAAAACTTACACAGTAGACTGTAAAATTTTAGATAAAAGTCAATTACTTTGAAAAAAACATATTTTTTGAAGGTATACTGACAATATATAACAAGCAGGAAATATTTGGTATCTACCAATAGCTCGGTTGTCTTCTCTACCTCTCAAACTACCAGTCCTACTAAAAAATCATTGACTTTTTTTAGACTTAATAAGTTATATAATGCTGAGAGAGCTAACAGTTTCCAGGGTTGATCTACGTTACTTAACTCAAGGACAACGACAAGCCAGAATCTTTTACCGTCAACATCTTCGTCAGATGTAGTAACTTAGTTATATTCACTCAAAGTAATAAGTGAAAAACCACACACATCAAGCAGAGTTCGTTGTAAATTTTATATGAGAAGCTGTCTCTCAAATACTTTAACAAACGTCCTGACTATCTATTGAAACTTCTTTTCGTTCAGCTATAATAATATTATAGAATTCTACCCTCAAACCCATGTATTTTAACGACGTCCAATGAGCTGTCCTTAAATGTTCACTTCGTCTTGGATATCAATTATATGAATGTTAATAATATAGCTGGCGAACAAAACCATCAGTTAAACAGGGCATTTATTTTCGAAGATCATCATTCTTGCTTGTAAAAAACACTCTGCCTACAGAAATGTTGAAAAATCCCGGTTTATTTATCAACATTTAGCTCAAATATCAACAGAGCCAAAGGTTAATACATTAAACTCTTCCTGAAGTTGTTGTATATAGTAGTGTAAACTGTAATTTCTCTCATACTGTGTTTAGCATATATTATACACCAATTTTTCATACTGTTTTACTTATATACAGCTTTAATAAAATGTTATTTGCTCGAGAATTAAAACATCCATTTTTGTACCTTCTTTTTACAAATTTTGGTAGTTTCAGTTGTAGCTTTTTGAAAGGTCTAGCTACAGCTGTTGTGTAAGTCAAGAACCTGATTTTGAAAGGACTAGCTAACCCAGGTTCTTGACTTACACAACAGCTGTAGCTAGACCTTTCAAAACCAGGTTCTTGACATACACAACAGTTGTAGCTAGACCTTTCAAAACCAGGTTCTTGACATACACAACAGTT